GGCGGGTGAGGCCGGGAGGTGTCACCCGGCCGGGCGGGGTGGAAGTGCCTGGAAAGTTTGTTTTCGGCTCCGCGCAGCCTGGAGCCGAGCCTCTGGGCTTACCTTGAGGTCTGGCCTGCGGAGAAGCCTCTGGCCTTTACCTGAAGGAGGGTCTTGGGAAGCAGGCGATGGGAGTTTCCGCTTGTAACACCTGATGCTGGCGGCTCCTCTCCGGACTCTTGGTCAGCGGGGCATTTCGGGTCTCCTCTTGCCTGTGGTTCTGCGCTCAGTGAGGTGGGAAGCCCTGGGAGGCCGGGCCTAGAGGCCCCAGTTAGGGCAGCCTAAGTTTGTTTGACAGGGAGGAGGGGTTTTAGAGGGGAAAAACAAAACAAAACTAACCACTTGTTGGGTGAAATGTTTCTGTTTTCTCTGTGTTATTAAAAGTATCCGTAGTTGTATTTTCTGTTTTAGAGTTCTTAAGCTCAAGGTGGATCAGCACATCTACCTTGTATGCGTTATGAGGTGGCTGATGATGGAATGTCAAACACTTAGCAAACTTTGGTTCAGAAAGCAGACCCCTTTGGGCTAGGGCTGTTGTTAGCGGCCACCTGCTTGCCCTGTACATTCAGAGCTCTTGGGCTAGATCCTTCCCCTTACCTTCCCTGTGGGTGGGGCGGGGCGGGAAGGGAGTTGTAGATCTCTTTACTCAGGCGGACCCAAGAAACTCACTTGCTCCAGTATGGTCTCGGCTGCGGCTTTGGTAGTGGCTTTTAAATGTTTCTGGGGGGTCAGGAGCCCCTTTGAGAATCTGAAAATATGGGCTCCGTTTGAGAAGCGTGCACAGCTGCTCTGAATTTTGTGGCTACTAGAGGCTCTTGAGCCTTCTGCAGTTCATCTGTGGACTTCCAAGTTATAGCTTCCACTTGTAGATGGGTGATAATTAATCCAAGTTCTAAAAGGAGGAGGACCTATCCCGTTGAGAAAAATGGTGAAAGGCAAAAGGGTGTTGCAACACTTGTGTCTTTACCCCGGGGTGCTTGGGCTAGCAGGCAAAAACACGAGTCGTGGAAGTCGGAGTGACAGTGTTGTGAATGCTTATGAAGTGAACTTTTACATAGTGATGCTGTTGCAGTGTATAAGGTGTGTATTTGATGGTGTCTGTGCAGAGGAAAAGTGTTTTCTCACGTGGTCTTGGCACTTCCATGATGGGCATTTGATTCATGCGGTTTCCCCATCAGGCAGCCTTTTCAGTGTTGAAAGCACTGTATAATCTAGTGAGCAGAAGAGAGTTACAGAATAAGTGACAAACTTCTCTGTAAGAAAGTGAGAACTAGGCCTTGCATCTTTGTCATCTAGAGGTGTCCCCGTCCGTGTCGTGTCGTCCCCCCCGGGGGCGCGGCCGCCCGCGCCGGGGGGGGGGGGGGGGGGCTTGTTCCTGTTTGGAATGACAGAGATGGCTCCCAGGGTGGCTTTTCCTTGAGGACTGGAAGATTTGCATGGTTAAAATGTATTT